GACCAAAGATTTATTTTGATATTCCTTCCAGCAGACATTTTCTAGCTCAGACTAAATCAACCAAAGATTTATTCTGATACTTCTCTCAGTTAACATCGAGCGTAGACTTAGTCAAATTTCTATATCAACAGTTATGTTGGATGACATCTATAAGCCCATCTCCAAAAACTTTTCATTGCCTCTCAAAATTTCATCTTTAAGCATATTCCCAGCATAATCAACAAACAATTTTACTTCATGCACATGCGAGAATAAATTTCTAGGCACTTAAGTGTTCAATCATTTTCCACCTTCAAGTCGCAAATGACGAACATGCCAATCTAACTCTTCAAGTTTAAGAAGATTGAACATGGGAAGCTGTTGTACCCCAAAATTTTCCCTCCCTTTTATTCAAGACATTTCTCACAAAAGATCTCAAATGCTCAAGGATTCTCAAAGAGTTGATCAGACAAACTCACCTCCTAAGCACTAAGACCACAAATTAGGGTTTTGGTTTTCAGAAGAAAAATTGGACTTCTAATGCCTCAAATTACTTTCATGGTTCATCATAGACCTCCAAGAATGCTCATGCCAAGTTTCAAGTCTTGCATCTCAAAATTTCTCAATTAATTGCTCAGATGACTGAAAAATCAATTGTATTGGGTAAAAAGTCAACGGTGGTCAATATACAGTCAAAATTCATGATTTTTGGCCAACATCAAACTTTTTAAGTAATATTAATCAATTGATCAAGGTTTGATCACAATTCCTGAAGATAAGCATTTAAATCATTAAAGGGGAAAAATTGTCAAAATTAGGTTTTTGACTGAGAATGATTGATCATTGACTTTTGACCTAGTACATGACCCAATGAACATAAGAATGATCTTAAGGAATCAAAAACAATATCTTGACCTAATCTCATGGCTCAAATAATTTCTCAAGATCAACAGATTGATAGTTGAAATTTGGATCAACTTAAGAAAAGTCAATTGATACACAAAAAGTCAAACTTTGACTTTTTGGTCAACATTGAATTTGAAAGATAAAAATCTATCAAGACATTAAAAAATATCAAAATTGATCATCAATAATCAAGAAATTCAAGAAAAGTCAACAAAAGTCAAGATTTTCAATACTTAGAAAAATTCTAAGTGTTTTTTTACCTCGATAATTTCACTACTTCATGACAATTTTTCACTAAGATCCAAGATGATTCAAGGAAAAATTTCAACATGAAAGTTGTAGATCTTGATGAGTTCTACAACTTTGACCTTGAGGGTGGATTTCCAAAAATTGCCTAGATTTGGTGATATAGGCCGATAAAGTCAAGACATTTTTAACAAAACACTTAGTGAAATTTTCAACAAGGTTGTCAGATTTTTGTCCCAACTTCTTGGAATTTATTCACCAAGTTCCAAGTTAATTTAGCCAAGGTGGTAAACATGAAGGTTGTAGATAATGTTTCAAGCTTTCAAAAATGTCCAATAACTTGAAGAGATCATGTTTGAGCTAGAAGTTTCGAAGAGATGAAGATGGCATCATAAACTTGAATTTTAGGTCATTTTGTGATGAACCTTATGATCCAATCTTCAACCATGATGCATAATATTGCTTTGTAAACCTTCTAACTTGCAAATAACTCAATAATTTAAGTTTTACACAACTGATTGATCCATTGTCCAAGTGATTAAAGCTTTGTCCAAGTTGTTTTTCCATTTAGAGAAGAAAGCCAAAACTTCCAATTTGGAAAAGTGGATTTAATCATAAAGTCCACTCTCCTTGAGCCTTGCACTTGTTTCTTCTGAGCATACACAATATTAAATCCAAGAACAACCATCTACAACTTGTTAACCACCCTAAAATCCCTTGTACTATACATTGAAACTATGTATTTCAAGTTTGCTTCAAAATCAAGTCACATAACCATAACATGTGATCTTTGAGAGGCCCTGCGTTTGTTTGTAATCCAATGTAACTGGCCCTTTGAGATGCATCATGGGGTATACGTGTGGAACGTTGGATCTTGATTGCTTGCAGATCCGATGGTGTTAACGTGAGGCTCATGGTAGGCGCGTATAATTGCAAGGCATGGGATCTGAAAGAACAAAATAAGTAAAAAATAAAAGGGTGCCACTACGACTAGAACTCAGGTCCCATAGGTAACAGGTGCGTGCTTTAACCACTAGGGTGGTGATACATCTGGTGATTAAAGCAACAACTATTAAATATATTACAAACTCCTTCTTGAATGTACTTCATTTTCTTTCTCGCGCCAGAAGCCATGAACATCATTTTTGAAATTATAAACATGCTCATTTCTCAACCAAATTGCATGATGTAAACATCAAACTTGCGTGAATTTAAATAAGGAATCCAACCATGTAAATTATTTAAGCTATAAATCAAAGATGAATGAGAGTTTCTGTTGGTACCAAACTGAACCCTAATTTTTCAGAAACTTCAACTTCAAAATTCTCATCGCTCAGGCAAGATAAATGAAATGTAAGCACGTGGTTGGCTTCAGGGAAATGATGTCTATATTTTATCTTTTAAAAGCGAAGGCAAATGATGCTTGAATAAGGATTTCAAAGTTCAGAAAACTTACTTTTGAAGTGAGAATCGAATCTGGAGTTAGAGAACTCCTGGAGGTGTTTTGATGATCTAAATAGCTTCATTGAACTCCTAGGAAGCTATTGCAATCCTTACTTTGGATTGAGAGTGGCTGGATTCTTCTAGAGAAGTCAAGTTGCAGAGTTCTGTTTTTGAAAATGGAGGATGATGAAGATAATGTTACAGTGGTATAACAGGTGTTTGAATAGCTTCTACATGAGTTATAGAAGCTTTGTAATTGATTTAAAATTAAAAAGTACAAGTGGATTAAGTCTTTGGAGTTTAAGGTCAGAAGTTGAAAGAATGGAGGATTTGTGTGCAAATTCTGATTTTAGGGAGTTTGAGAGGGTTATAAGGCTTATGAACTCGTGTGTTAGTTTGTAAATAACCTCTCTATTTATAGAGAAAAGGTTTGAGGACTTGAAGTAACCAGAAATTCAAAATAGCATGTTATGGTTTTGAGACTTAGTTTTGAAGCAACTTGCAAAGACACGGTTTCAATGCAATGGTACAATGGCTTATAGGGTGGTTAGGATTTGTAGACATGTTTCTTCTTGCTTTGGCATTGTGTGTGTTCAGAAGTGTTGTCCCCAAAATTTTCCCTCTTATTTGTAAGCAAAATAGCTTATGCTTCACCATTATATTCATCATTTACATTGCGTTAACTAGATGATATGTGATCAACGGTTTGGCTGGATAAGTGAATAATTCCCAAGAGAAGAAGATCTATCTGCAAGGGTCAAGTATCTGAAGTCCTTTTCATCCTAAACATCTTCTCAAGTCACGAGATATATGGGTATAATAGTTCTTCAAGATATTCCAGTTGGATTAGTGTTTGGAGTTATTGGTCGACATCTCCTATCTTTGTAATGCAATTAGTGTTTTTGATAGATGGCATATATTTCATTCAATATAGCACTTTGGTTCAAAGTTCAATGGTTATGAAATATAAGGGTTTTACACTGGTCAAGGCGTTCGTATCCAATAATGGCTTATTTCTTCTTCAAACATTATGCAGTGGAATTAGGTTTGCGGTCTGTGGTCATTAAGAATCTCTTCTTCGCGAATCCTAAGGCTAATCTCCACCCAGTTTTGTCAATTCCAGAAATCAGGGTTTCTATCATATGGACGTCTTGCTATCTTCTAGCTTCATCTGAGTCGAGGAATTTCCTCAAGGAAGGGTTTGGCTCCAACTCAAGGCTTAAAGACTCAAAGATAATGTAATTATGGATTATTTCTCTAATCATGTGGTAGTCAAAAGATTTCCTTATAAAGTTTGGGTTCATCAATCAATCTCATCATTCAATGGATATTGCTCATTGCTCGAGTGAATTTTAGGGTCTTATGGGCTGACTATTACCATCATGTTGGTTCGCCTCATTAGGATTTAGTTTAGACTTTCTACCATTAATTGAGGTTTGCTTCACCTTTACTCGAGTTACAAAATTTGTATTGTGGATTTCGTGCAAAGAGTGAATATGAACTCACATGGTGTTATTATTGAATCGTCTCAAGTTTGAAAGATTGGTTAAAACTTTGATTTTTGGTTAAAATCAACCATGGAAGATTGACTTTTGACAAAGTCCTTTTTAAATATTTTTGAGGCCTACATCTAGTGGTTCATTCAATTATAGCAAGATTGAAGAAAAATTGGAGAATTCACATGAAATACAAATTGAAAAGGGTTCATATTCAGTATTCAAAAGATACAGAGGAGGGAAACTATTTTATCAAATTTATTTGGAAAAGCTTCATTACAAAAAATCAACATGCAAAGTACAAGGGTCAATATTTACTTCAATTATCATTTATAATTTTAAAAGATACATTCCATGCTTCACATTAGTCATCAAAATATAACTGCATCACAAGATGCTACATTCAAGATTCAATTAACAAGGATTAATACATCTCTTGGTTGAGTTCTTTTGAAGAAGTTAAAAATAATTGAACTTGACGAAGAAATAGCATCTGTCGACACCGCCACTGATAATCTTATCCAGAAGATTATTCGAACAGAGTTCAAAGCCTGCATTATGCTCACCATTGCACATCGTATCCCTACTGTTATTGACAACAATCAAGCTCTGATGTTCAGTGATGGTCGAGTTGCTGAGTTTGACACTCCTTTACGGCTATTAGAAGATAAGTCATCCATGCTTCTAAAGTTGGTATCTGAGTATTCACCACGATCGAGCAGCATACCGAAATTTTAGAGGTGTCTAGAAACTTTAATAGTCAGTATCGGGTGGTGGTGAGAGTTTGAAGACAATTCATAAGCCAAAATCAAAACAAGTTTCCAGACCTGCAGTAACTAAAGAGGCAATATTCTTTTGGATCATGTGTTAAACTCCTAAAAAGGGTTCACCTAATTGCTACTATACCAAAACAGATAAACCAATTTCAAACTAGTAAAGAGTTACACTATACCAAGTTAACTCGCAGCTGCTACCAACACCAAGGCCTATTCCATAAAATAATCCAAAAGTCAGATGAAATTGAAATAAGAGAGGAAATTCTAAATTGGAAATAGAATAAACAAACAGAATGGCTACTGCTTCTTCAAAAAAATGGCTTTCTCTTGAAGTTAAACCTGATGTCATGAACCAATGCCTTTCTGGTCTTGTTCTTCCAGAGGATCAAGCTAGGTGCAATTACGTTTATAGATTGGATAAAGAGCTTTTAGAAATGGTTCCAAAACCAGTTCTTGTTGTATTCTTTTCTTTGTCTTCTCACCAATAAGTCTGAAGAGGAGAGGTTGCAACAGAATAAGAAGAAAAATCATAAATCATAAATAATAAGCCAACTCAATAAAACACAGGGAATGATAAGAAAATATAAAGGAAAATATCAGGGAAAATAGATAAGGAAAACTTGGAAAATCAAAACAGAGTTCTAAACAAAATTCCAGCTCAGCAGCTAACCAACTTTCTAACAGAATTCGAACCCCTAACTGATTTTCTTTCATCTAATAGTTTCCTGACTGACTATTTTCCAGAATAACAGGATTATATATAACAAAAAATTACCAGATATCAGGGGAATTTTCATTTAGAAAATTCACAGCGGAAGAATCAGAGAATTTGCTCTCTGCTGCCTCTACAAATCTCTCTCTGCTCCTTTCTTTTGTATCTCCATCCTCATCCACCAGAAAATCAAGAAATCCTCTTTCCTCTTTCTTTTCGCTGTAACCGCATCTTTATCTTCACCATTATGGGCTTCATCAGAAGAATCGCAAAAAAACACAGAAAAATTGTCTCTCTCTCTGAAACTTTCATCCCAATCCTATGCACCAATTCATTCTCTTCCATCTTCATCATCAAAATGTGAATCTTATGCGAACTTACTGCATCTGCTTCCACGTATACTGTAACAATCTTCATCTGCAGTTTTGCGCAATCTTAACCATTATCTTCATCCCAACTCAATTATGCATCCTTCACATCAGTTATTTTCTTCAACACAACAACACTGCAATAACCACAACAATATCATCAGTACTCACGTAATAACGGAATCATCATCGTCATCACACAATTATTTGCGATAAAAAGAAACACAATAGGTCATTCTGAATTCCTTTGAAAGCGCAGAAAAACGGAACCGCGTATGTAAAGAAGAAGAAGATTAGAGCGATGAATTTACCTTTAGATTTCTTGCCTTCACCACCAATTGAAGAGGCGTCGGACTTCTCTCCGGTAGGTAAGCCGTAAATCCCTCCAATCTTTAATATGTTCCTGTTTCCTACATCGTCTATAAGGATTGAAGTGGGGAGATCCAACTGCGAACTCGTTTATGTTTGCAATTCATGGTCTCCATGTTATTTAAACAGTAGTTGATGTTGAACAAGGATTGATGAGGAGTTGAATCAAAGAGAAGGTTGAGGTTGAGCTTCCAGTTTGATATGTGATATTTGAAGCGGATCCGCAGAAATAGGATGATGAAGTACGAAAAGAATACGAACATAGAGGAGAAGTGAGTGAGGGTGATGATGTCGCTCCCGTCATTATGAATACTGAAGTCGCAACGAAGAATCATGAAGGAAGACAATGAGCGGAGTATGGACGGAGATGGTCAGAGGAGTTGAGGGACGGACGTGGAGTTGTTGATCACGCCGTTGCGCTTTTGAAGAAGAATAATAAGAAGAAGAAGAGGGAAAGCCTCTGAGCATGAGGTCTGGGTCGTATAACATTGAATCCTAAATCCTCTTTCAAGCCGGTAGGGTTAATGTGTTAATGCTTGGGCCTAACCAGGTTACCCTTAGGCCTATGTATATCTTCTCTTTGGTGCAAGTGGGCTTCTAAAGATGGCTTATTTAAGAATCCATTTTGCAAACAAAAAAAGCTAGTCTGTTGTATGATTATTGGACCGGATTGCATTACCTTAAGCCTAATATACTCCTTTTTTTGGAATTTTGAATGGTGTGTAACAAAAACAGTATGGTGTACTACTTTTTTCGTTGGGCTTCAGGTTGCACACCCTTACTAAGCCCATTTATTTTTTTTTTGTTGATGGCCTATTAACTTGCAACAAAAACAATGCCATGGACTTAGTTTGGCTGGGCTTAGCGCCCAGATTACTACTATACCCCTGGATTTTGGCTTGCACCCCTGAGTTCTTTCTTTTAATATTTTCTTTTTAATAGTTGTTTAGTTTTGTTGAACTTTTTTTCTTTACATGGTAAAAACAATAAAATAATAAAACCTTGTAGATTTTTTATTTTAGTTTTAGGAAATTAAATTCTGATTATCTGATTATATTTGAGATTGGTAATTCACCTTTGTTTGTTGAGATGTGAATCTTATGCAGGATTATTATGCGATATGCAGATGCACTTGAGATTTCGATTGTGATTTTTATTTTAACAATGATGGTCGTTGATACTTATTCCGAGCATTTGATTTCTAACTCTTTTCTTTGATTGGTGAAGCTTTCGCGAAGATCGTCAAGTTTCTTTGTTTCGATACGTTTCGCTACAGATTGATATTCGTTTCGTATTTTCTCTTATTTATCTCATTTATCACTTTATTGATTTCTAGATATCATGAGAAGTGGGAAATAAAGAGCGTGCACTCGAAGTCGCTGTTTAAAGACCTATAGTAGGCATTCTGCGCTTCATTTGTTATAAGTGTTGTGCTTGTATTTGTTTTCTTGGTTGTTGATCAATGAGTCACTCAATTTAGAAATTGAGATCACAACTTCGCTCTCAGTGCATGCTACCCATAGGATTTCATTGCTTTCCTTTATTTCTTGTTGATCGATTAGTCACTCAATTTAGAAATTGAGATCGCGACTTCTCTCTCATTGCATGTTCCCCACAGGATAGTTTTGTTAAACTTTCTTTGGTATGTTATCCTAGATGGGATTTCTATAGGTGTTCTCTCTTAATTTAGCTCTCTTGAGCTTATTGGCTTGTTTGTTTGATTTCATCTTTGTGTGCGTGTTTTGAGATGATATACCATGGGTGTGTTCCCTTAGGAGCTCTCAATTCAACTATAGATGATGATTCGAGATATACATAGTTTTAGGTAATAGACCCTTGATATGCTTCTTTAGGACTTCTTGGTTTATCTATAGATGATGAGTTGAGATAGACATTTGGATTGTTATCCAAGCATGTCAACATAGGGTAGAGATTTTCCTTCAAAACTCAACTATAGGATCAATCATTGTATGATAACATTAGGGATAGATTTAGGTTAGTCTCCCTTAGATGTTTTCTTTTCCTTTGCATCCTTGCATTTAAAACTAAAACTCTTTTCTTAGAAAATTCAGAAAACATCTAACAATTTTCAAATCCTTCTTTAAGTTAAACGATATTAACCAATGCAAACTCTTTTGCGCCTTCGGGCTTTTCTTTCAAACTTTTCAGAAAGAACATGTTAATTCACTTTTGTGCTGACGCGTGAGTCTCCAAAGGTCGAGCTACGGCATAAGGCGAAATTTATGTTGTTCATTAAAAAGGAACATATGAGAGGCTCAAGGAAAGTTGACAAAATGCATAAAGCATGCTTTATGTAAATGACAATGGTGAATTTATGCCAAAAATGGAAAATTGGCTTGGATAATAGCTGAAACACTTGGATAATGATTCAATCAGTTATATAAATATTTAATTATGGAGTGATTTGCAAGTTAGAATCCTGCAAAGTAAGATTTATGCAGCATGGCTTGGAGATTTGATCTCATGTTCATCACAAAATGACATATAATTCAAGAATGGATGCCCAACTTCATCTCTTCGAATCACTTTGCTTAAGCCTGATAAAAATGTGTTCTTAGACATTTTGTAAAGCATGAAACATTGTCTACAACCTTCATGTTGACCACTTTGGCTAAATCAATTTGGAACTTGGTGAAAATTGGCTAAGAAGTTAGGACAAAAATCTGACCAAACTTGTTGAAAACTTCTCTAAGTGTTTAGATAAAAATGTCATGACTTCATGTTGAAAGTTGTAGAATTCATAAAGCTCTACAACTTTCATGTTGAAATTTTTCCTTGAATCATCTTGCATCTTAGTGAAAAATGGTCATGAAGTAGTGAATTTATTAAGGAGAAAACACTTAGAATTTTTCCAAGTATTGGAAATTTTGACTCTTTTTTTGACTTTGTTGATTCTTGGAGTTCAAGTTGTCCAAAAAAGTCAAAGTTCAACTTTTGTGTGACAGTTGACTTTTCATTAGTTGATCTTAATTTTTCAACTATCAATCTATTTCCAATTTGGAAATGTATTAAACCATGTAATTAGGTTAAGATGTCTTATTTGAATCCTTAAGATCATGCTTCAATTCATTAGGTCATAGGTCAAAATTCAATGATCAGTCATTCTCAATCAAAACCCAAATTTTGATAACTTTACCATTTTGATGATTTGAGTGCTTTCCTTGAGGAATTATGATTAACCCTTGATAAAATGATGAATATCACATCAAAATGTTTATGTTGGCAAAAAATCTTGAAGTTTGACTGTATGTTGATCACAGTTGACTTTTTACCCAATACAACTGATTTTCAATCATCTGAGCAATTGACTGAGAAAATTTGTGATGCAAGACTTGAAACTTGGTATGAGAATTCTTGAAGAATTATGATGAACCATTAAAGTCACTTGAGTAATTAGAAGCCTAATTTTCCTTGATAGAACTAAAACCCTAATTATGGACCCAATGCTTGAGAGTTGAGCTTGTCTGATCATTTCTTGAGAATCTTTGAGCATTTGAGAATTTTTGTGAGAAATGTCTTGAGAAAAAGAGAGGGAAAATTTTGGGGTACAACAAGATTTTATACCTGGATCTGGGGGCATTTTAGGTAAGTAGCAATAGATCGTGAAAATTGTATGGCGTAGACCGATATGGTTGAAACGATGGCTACGTTATTGTGATACATTGGTTGGTATCGGTGTCCCTTGAGTAAGTCAAGGAGAATGCTTGGCTGCTGCATGGTGTCATAAGCACTTATCTACTGTAGAACCTTAGTTAACACAACTTAGCCATTACAAAGTAGTGAGATAGCTGGCTTTGGTGCATACTGAAGTTGGTTGATACTCGAAGCTACACTCATTGAGATTGGACTCTCGGGATATTTCGGTCACAATTTAGATGCTTGTGCTAAAACAATGCCTGAGAGAAAGGTAAGTGATATTGAGATTCCTAGAACCCGGTTACTTATTTTAGGACATGTTGAGCAAACTAAAACTTCAAGAGGGTACTTACCTATAAACTCCACGCAAGCTTAAACCTAAGGCTTTGTGTGTTTTGTTTATGTTTGATTAATTGTTTAAACATGACATCATAGCATCATGACATCATACCATGTAATTTTTACTAACCATTTCAAGGACCTAGGGATTTATCTTTGTTTTGTTTTATAGGTTATGGCCTCCGCTCGCAGAAACACTATTTGGACCAGTCTTTTGAGGATACCTTCTCAACTTAAGGGGTTAGTCTCAAGGGTTCCTGAAAGTTCTCCATTCATCAAAAGGAATGGTCGACTACTCAGTTTGGTTACCTCGGGTTTTGAAGAAGATATGATGAGTGTTCTATTCCAGTTCTTTGACCCTGTACATCACCACTTCACTTTTCCCGATTATCAGTTGGTACCCACAATGGAGGAGTTTTCTCAATTACTGGGAGTACATGTTTTCAATCAAATACCTTTCACCGATTTAGAAAAAGATCCACAACCTGAATAAATTGCACCAGCCTTACATCTAAAGCAGTCCGACATTGTATCAAATTGAGAAACAAGGAGTGGAGTCAAGGCTTTTCTAGCTAAATTTCTGTTAGAGAAGACTCGGTTGTTTCTGGATGCTATGAGTTTTCAAGCTTTCAAAGAAATCTTGGATTTGTTAATCTATGGTTTGGTGTTATTCCCTAATCCATACCAACTCATAGATGTGAACACCATCAAAATATTTCTTTCTCGTAACCATGTGCCTACTTTTCTCTGAGAAATTTTGCATTCTTTTCACACTCGTACTACGAGGAAGCGAGGGACTCTTATGTGTTGCATACCTTTGCTATCTAGGTGGTGTATTTCTCACCTTCCTCGATTAGTATTGAAGAATGACCAAGGTTTGAGGTGGTCTTAAAGGATGATGTCGCTTTCTCGTTCTGATATCTATTGGTGTTACCGATCTCTGGAAGATGTCACTATCATTAACCGCTGCGGGGAATTCCCTAATATTCAACTCCTTGGCATCAGAGGAGGTGTTACTTACAACCCTTCTCTAGCTCTACGATAATTTGGTTATGCTTGAAGAGATGGTCCTCATGACGCACTTATCTAGGGAATTATGTTCGACTACGAGAATGTTCTTCAAGGTTATCATCAAAGGTTTATACGCGCTTGGGGCATGGTAAGCAATATTGGTAGCAAGACTTTAGGCCAAAGTAATTCTATCCCTTTTGAGCCTTATCTCAAATGGGTACGAACTCTTTCTCAAAACCTCATGATGCCATATCTCACTGTCTTACCACTGATTATGGATACCATTCTTCATCCAGATATGCCTACTAACCTCGAAGAATTGCAGAAA